CACGCTGGTGAAGCGTACTCAATACGAGACCTGATGGAAGAGGAATATATACTGTATAGTAACAAGATCTCTATCGCTGCCTTTTTCAACTGCAGCAAACGTTACTTAGTGACGTAGTCAACGTGGACAGTCCAGTATTATAGACCAACTCTCGGCATTACACCAAGCAGGTTAATACTCATTAAAAATTCATAAACGTTGTGGCAAATCAAGTCAGCCATAATATGTCACGTGGGGTGACTTTATATCTTATAAAACTCATCTTCATTAGTATTCTTTATATAATTCTTCATCTTAATTAGTATTCTTTTGTAGTCGAATTTTAAGCTATTCAAAGCACTCGAACTCGCGTTTTATCATATCTAAAACGCTCGGCTGCGCCTCGCATTTTAAATATGATAAAACAATCCTCCTCGTGTTTTAAATAGTACATATTACATTTCTTCTTTTTACACATATATTACACATACCAAAAATCCCGATCATATTTGTGGTTAGTCACTCTTTAACATCTCCAATCCTGCATGATCCAGTGAATTGTGATACGACATTTCAGGAAGAATGATACGTGAACTCTTCCGGATCGATTCCGTAATGTCGGACTGGTTTTTGGTCAGCGCTGACCACGCTGGTGAAGCGTACTCAATACGAGACCTGATGGAAGTGGAATATATACTGTATAGTAACAAGATCTCTATCGCTGCCTTTTTCAACTGCAGCAAACGTTACTTAGTGACGTAGTCAACGTGGACAGTCCAGTATTATAGACCAACTCTCGGCATTACACCAAGCAGGTTAAATGAAGATAATGATTGCACTCGCATATACCATCTATATAGATCGTATTGTCGTGTGGAAAGTGATATTAGAGGAATGATATTAACATCTCCTTAAATTTCTTACCATTAAGTTTCATTACTGTACTTGAAGAGAAATGAGATATATCAGGCTGGGAGAGAAACGTGGAATAAGCTCTACTGCAGTAGCATTATTTACAAATTTAATTCGCCCTTCCCAGTCTTTTAAGAGGGGATTGACCAAAACGGCGAAGAACAGTAGCAGTGGCAAGTTTGGTTCCTTGAAGTAAGCTACTATTAACACGCTTCCTGGAGGAAGTGAATGTTCCTATTTTCATACACTGTTCGCGGGAGGTAAGGAAAATCTTATCCATCTTCTAATAACAGGATTAACTTGAAGTTTTAAAAGTTCATCCTTAATAACATTGTGATCAACCAAGTCAAATCCTTTTTTAATGTCCGCAAAGAAAATTCTTGCAGAACAGTGGCCTTGATCTAAACTAGCGAAAATCAAATCAGGTAAATAAACCAGGACGTGAGTGGTTGAATTTTTCGGGAGGGCAAATTGCTTCGGATCCAGTTCATGACCCATTGACACACTTCTGACATAAGAAATGTTAACGTGTAGCCTAGTATCACTTTAGATACCTAATCTGTCAAGGATATAGGTCTTAAATTGTCTTTGATGATAGGTAAAGGAACGACGATGGATCGCTTTAATTGATTAGGGGAAACCACTTGTAACATCGATGCATTGCAAATATCCATTATTATCGAAGCAAATTCAAACGAAAAAGTTCAAAATCTTATTTGGGATCGCGTCAGGGCCAGGCGACTTGGCGGTTTCAAGACACAGCATGCAACTGCGAATATATAGACTTGACCTTCATTAACAAGAAAATGATTGGGAACCGCTATCTTCAGGTCATCGGTGTGTTCCGGCGAGGGTTTAAAATGCGAGGCCTAGGTTAGTTCGACAGAAAGTCATTATATGCCTTGGCAAGATCCTCGCACGTTGGATTTACTTCAGAGGGTAGCTGATCGACCCAGGGCTCCTGAGATGTAAGGACACCTAGTAAGTTAAGGATTTGAACTTTACAACCTTTTTACAGAATTTGCGTAATACTTGCTTAACATCACGTTGAACTTTTTTGCGCCAGAATCTATATGCTTGTGAGTTTTTCCCATATACTAATGAGAATTTTGGCGCTCATTAATGGAGGGCATCCATGGTTTATCGGACATCCTAACACTGGTTGGCTTACATGGAAAATAACAATTCATCATTGCGCACATTATCTCATTGAATATCTGATACTTCATGTTAGAATCGAATTCAAATATCTCCATCCAATCTTTTATTGATTGATGTAATTGTTTGACAGAAATACCGTATAGTACTATCCCTTAAATCTCTTTTCCATAATCGATTTTGTTATTTGCCTTCGCTGGACGATCTACATGGAGTTTAATTTTAATTTGATCACTCGAGCCAATTAGAGGTGGTTAACTTACAGCAAAATGACTCTCTTGATATTGGTTAGACACCAATCAAGGATGGCGTTATGACGTGTTGGAACTTTGATGTTTTGACTTAAGCCAGTCAGTCTTTTCAACTGATTTTCATCAAATGAAGTACTAACAGGGTTAAAGTTACATGTCACAATAACGAGAGTGTCGGGGTGTGAAGGCAGAAAAGAATGAACATTACGCTGGATATGATTGTACAAGTCGAGGTTCTCAAAATGACTGCCAGAAAAATGGCGCATATAGGTCTTGGTAAGCGCTTGAGTCAAAATAATAATCAAAGGGATTCATTAACTCGGTTTTCAAAATGTTCAAGTCTTCTACAATAGATTTCTGCTTTAGTGTAATGGAACGGACATTAGCAAGCAGTAGGGTAGGTAAAATGAAATTATTATCACGGGTTAAATACGACGATGGAAAGTGGTTGGACTAGTGGAACTTCCATTAATTAATTCGGCCAAGGTTGGGATGACCACGGCGTATAATGATGGGGAGGGGGCTGTTAGTCTATTATTTTCCGAGGTCTTAATTCCTTTGGGGTCATAGGTATTCGGTAATTGGGCAAAAAAAGGAGGATAGAAGTGGCTGTTAATCTCGGGCCTATGTGCATGCCGGTATGTTATAAGTAAAAGCATATCTAGACCCTTTTAAACAATGATTTTTCTCTTTTCTTTAAACAATGATCTTGTCCTTTGTAAAAATGGACAAGGCACCCTATGTTTGGGTTCATCACGAAATTGTTTTGCATGTTGAAAATCACAGCAGTTACCTTTTATCATGGATAATAAAATAAATGGATAGGAAACTAGCTGACGTGACCTAATGTTTTCAATGGGCTGATGGCGTGGTTGGATGTCCAAACCTAGTTGCAAACCAAATTCTCAAAAACGTCATGTTTAGCAATAATACAGCTAAACATTTTAGTCAAAGAGCAAATAAATATAACCACGCCATTCTACGATGAAAACGCAAATATTTCAAGCACTAAACAGTGAAAAATACATCGCAAATTTGGTTAAAATTTGTGACGCCAATTTCGTAGCTACAAATGTAAAAAAAAATACAAAACAAAGACGAAAAACATTTACTTTGAATAATTTGTCGTGGCTTAGGCATGTTTTTAAAACAATTAGACCAGTTTATGCTTCAATATCACCTTTTTAAAGTGGAAAATATAGCAAAACAACAAAAATGCCGAGAACTTTGGTAATATTCGCAATACGCGTGACGTCACGTCACGATTTTAACGTTAGGTGTTCATTTTTGAGTGTGTTAATCTCCTCTTTCTGTTTGCTAATAAGTTCGCTTTCCAAATACGATTCTGGAGGCTGAGGGAACTCATTGTTTGGTCTGGAGTCATTTATTCAGATGAACAAATTGTTGATTTTCACAAGGTGGAACTTGATTATTATCGTGAACTAGGAATTTTCCATTGTCTCGGGGTAAGATTTGTATATCACCACGATATAAAATTGGCCATTAACACCAGATGAGGTTATTTTAGCGCCAGCTGGAATTTCACTGCTAAGAAAGTACAAATTATTTTTATTCATATTAGTGCATTGTTCGCTGACATAAGATGGAAATTCATGAGTATGGGTATATTGTTACGATGGTCATTATGGATTACTTCAATAATTGAATTTTCAATAGAGGACAACTTTGATTTAAGAAATAAATTCTCCTCATTAAGACTGCGAATTAGTTCATCCTGGTGTCGCATGACAGCTTCCATATCTTTCTATCACAATGTAGATCACAAAATCTGCCTCTGTCATGATGCCTCTGTCAACCACCAATAAATGGCTTACTATATTTTCCAAAGGGAGAATTTAATTACGTCTGTCCACAGGCTAGATTCCTGACGGAGGGCCTATTTTGGTTGCGTTTGCTCCTCAAAACATTTTGAGAATAGGACAGGATAGGATAGGATAGGACAGGACAGGACAGATTCATGCAGATGATTATCGCTAATTATTGGGAAAGAACAATTAGAGCGTCAATCTGCTCTGCTTTGCGAATGACGCACTGTAGGTATAGGGCCTAAAACTGCGACACTGTAGAAGACCGGAACATTTTCTTAACTAAAATGTTTCAATATTTTTGGTTAATTATCACATAAAAAGAAGAAACTCAAGACAGGTATTTCAACGTTCCATGTAATGATAACCAGTATAGCCAGCTAAACATGGAACTATTGGCATTTATTATAGTGCTATAGTGTATACCAATTCCCCAAACCTGGCTGAGGCCCTTCCCACCCCCCACCCCCCAGCTCTAGACTAGACTAAACTAGACCAGGCTATAGTTGACTGGACCAGACTAGAATATAAATGAATGAAATGGTACAGGCTTTATTTCTAATATTTCTTTTGTCCTTAAATAACCTCGCGGCCCTCTAGTTTAATTTCGCACGCAGCCCCATATAAGTCCTTTAGGCTGAACACCGCTGTATTATTTGTAAAAAAAAAGCTACATCTTTTACATTACGTGTTGCCGAGATATTTAAAAAAATAAAAAAGTGTGCCAGGATTGATTATCCTAACACCAATGAACCTTTTGTTTTACTTCTAATCCCAACCTTGCATTTTGTTCACTACAATAAATATGGTGCTATTTAAAACTATCTATAAATTTGCGACATGTAAAAGTTCACCAATTTTCTGTATTGTTTAGAGGACCTCAAAGCGCCATGATGATTTTTAAATTCTGTGTTGGCGCTGGTTGGTTCTCTCTTCCTGCTGCTTTTCGATATTCAGGCGTTTTGGTAAGTAAAGACCATTTATGTTAATAATAAAATAATAAATATTAATTTCACAATAGTTTTTTTATGAAATGGAATGTTCTCCGTTTTAGACCAATAGTAATTTGGTAATTTTTTTGCTAATTGAGGTTGGCGTAATTTGCATTTTTGTGTGTGGAGCGCTTACGATATACGGAATGCAGAGATTAATACAAACTTCATGGGAAGTTGCTCGAAGGTATTTCACAGATATAATAGTAAACATTACTATCTTGTTTGCCGCAAATCCTTACTCAGAGATTCAGAGGGTGAAGCAAGCGGGCATAGTTAAAGATTTACATGTGGGGGGCCATAATTTGGAAAAGGGCCCATTGAACGAGCGCCAAGACACGAGTTTGGTACGGGGGTCCGTGTATCGCACCCTCCCCCGGATATATTTTAACTCAAAGCTACTATAATGTATAAAAGTTAAAATTTACAAACAGACGAATCCCTAAAGAATTTCTTCATATACTCTCATTAACAATGATAAAATACATGTAGGCAAAGACTTACTACATTCACATTTCATGATTTCACACAAAAAGTGTGTTAAAAGGGTCCAAGGAGTGGATGGCCAATTTTGCTTGAGTCTATGGGGGCCAACAGGAGGGCCTGGCCAGTATATATGTTAACATATGCCTTGGAGTGAAGGCGTGTTTACGGTGCAAGTTCCATTGAATTATTATTAACATAGTAGACAAGGGAAATCCTTTCTCAAATCATCTAAAATGACGTTAGGTAAAAACTGCCTGGCGTATTTCCTTTATTTAGTCCGACCTTGGGGCTTATATTGACAGAGGGCACATTAGAAGGGAGCTCTGGGTATTAAATAGAGGCTGGGGACTTTTTGTTAAGATCGTTTTTTAAGCACGTTAAAACATTCGCATCCGATCTATATCAGATATAAAGATCGGCTGCTCATGTTTTAACTAGTACGTATTGAGCTGTCTGATCTTTCTTTAAACTCTGGCGCTAGTTTCCAACCAAACATTTAAATATAATAGTTTTGTTTGTGGAAACACCACGTAAATTTATTACTGCAAAGCTTTCGATCCGTAAGCCCGGATCTTCATCAGTGCTAATAATATGTGACTTGTTTAATTCACACGCCCTTTTTATATGCAAAAGTGTCCGGGCGTGACCAACAGATCAGGCCGGACACTTTTGTATATAAAAAGGGCGTGTGAATTAAACAAGTCACATTAATTTAGCACTGATGAAGATCCGCGGGCTTACGGATCGAAAGCTTTGCAGTAATAAATTTACGTGGTGTTTCCACAAACAAAACTATTATATGTTTTATCGCCATGCAAACATACAAACAAACATTTAAAGTTTAAAATTACTTTAAAACTTGTCACGTTATACCAAAATAATATGTCTCCTTTTTTGTCAAAATTAATAAGATGGTTACATTCATGTGTTTTGAGCATTTCGTTTTGAGTTAATTAATATAAATATACAAAACGTTTATAATCTGCCTGTTCTTTCGAAGAGGCTAGACTGCGTGTATAATGACTCAGCTGCACTAACAGACTATATCTTCCGAATAACTTGAGTATAAATATCTATATATTTTATACTTTTATTAGTACCCATCTTATATATGAGTTCATTGGCGAAGTAATTTTAAAAATAAACATTGTCTAAGCCGAGAAAATCAAAGCAAAAGTTTATATAAATCAGGACAAATCTTTATCAGATTTACAAACATTGATTAAACATTCCGTGGCATTTCTTTTGTATTTTTCTCATGAATTATTAATGAGTTTTTTAGAATTTTCATGATTGCTATGCGTTGCTAAGGAAATATAACTGACTAGTCCAGTCATATAGTAGCCCAAGCAATGCGACTATATGATTTACATGTAAGTCATAGTCGCATCGCCATTGTTGTTTTACATTTGGCAAAATAAGATAATTCTTGTTGTCCCATTATACTTTTTAATTTTATGATATGCAAACCGAGAAAGAAACACAAAACACCAATCAAAAAGCATATAATACAGTTATTGAAACGTAAAAATATTATTTGACTCACCCTATTATTGTTAATTTGTGTTGGTCTACGTATACAGCAGGATTTTGTTTCTTTTTTTAGCTGCATGCATTTCGAAGGGAAATTATAGTTAATACCACTGATTTTTGGACTACTATGCTCAGATACGATTTCGGCTGGAACCTGTATTGTGATTGGCTAGAACGGTCGTGCTAATTTATATTGCATATTTATTTGCCAAAATGATGATTAATTTTTTAGAAGATTCCACTTACCCTGCAAAATGGCTGTGGATCGAGGAGGCAGATTTTTTCAGCCCATTTGTACTGGGGCTTAAATAGAAGGCGGGCTAAATAAATTCTAGGGGATAAATAGAGGAAATACAGTATCTTACGGGAAAAGGTTGCCATAGGTCCACGCACATATATCGTGGGTATTCCCCAGGTATTCCCACACAGTACATGTGTTGAATTTCTGCAGAACCGGAACTGACACAGCTTATTTTGGCGATATTGGTGCTGCCTGTGGAAAGTTATTGAGCGAAAAATGTGAATTGATTGGAAGGTGAGAATGTTTGAATATATATACTATACTATAGCCTGCGTAGCAGCAGCTTTAATTTTTGAAGGTTTTGAGGCTTTTTCAAAAATCCTCAAAATCTTTAAAAAAATAAGTTACACAATTAAATGTTCGGCATTTTGACACGCGGTGTAAAGGACTGTGTAAGATAATGCATGTGGAATCTAGGCACTCTCTGCCAATGGGGATGGCAACATGGGGACAACGATTACGCAAAAATTGCTTGTTGATTTAATATAAAATGGTGCCATTCATTAACAATCATGTACATTTGGTAATGTTGCTTGATGGTAAAGCTGGCGCTTCTCGACTCAGTTTCAGTTAGGTCGACTACAGTTGTGCGCAATCTTTTGCTTGTTCATGTTTTGCACTGCATCATGGTCTACCGTCCCATGCAATGCAACTCGCCAAAGAAAATTTGGAGAAAAGGCACGATAGAAAGTAAAAAAATAATATTTTCAACACGATTGCGTTAGTTTCACTCTATTTTCCAGCAGACGTCCAATAATTGTTTATTGGTTCGGTATTAAAGAACATATCGTACACGAACAAAACAATTTCGTAATTTTCGTAACTTTATTATATAACCGTATATATTTATTGCTTTTTTTGCTAGGCTGATTGTCAACATTATTCTTTCGATTGCCGCCTTCTCGATGGCATTTCCAATGATGCTGTTTATTGCAGACATGTGGAAACAGGTTCGTAGATCAATCTCGCAAGACTCCCTCTTTGCCTTCGATTGTACTATTACACTCCTTCACTTCGTTGTTGTTGAGCATTCTGTGAAGTTTAATAGGTGTCAGTTGGCGATAATGCAAACCTCACCTCCCTTGTGGTCGTTTGTACATTCTCGCCCCATTACACCCTGCGAATGTCTGGATGCGTTGGTGTCTCTGTGTTGTAGGCCCACGACATGCACTTATTGAGAACAAGCTTATATGTATAAAGGCAATGTCTCATTCACGTATCTGCACGTGCACAAAGCTGCTCTGATAACGTACAGGACGCCGAAACATGCATGTCTGCGGATTTTAACAATTTGGTTTTCTCTTTCGTTTTGGCAGGCGTTTGAGGAGCAAGATATTGTTCAGTTGGACATAGCCGTTTGGATACTTATTGTATATGTGCTCGTCTTGCCATCAATTTTCATACGGAGACCTGATTTTCTTGCTTGGGGCTCAATCATTGCCAACATCTTCGAAGTCATTACGATAACTGCTGTGTTTGTGAATGTTTTTTCTACATCATCAAGTTGGAAAGTAAACAACACCGTGCAGTGGTCAAAGCTGCCATTAACCATTGGGGTTGTCTTTTTTGCGTTCGAAATTGCACCATTTGTAAGATATAGATCATTTTTCTTATTATACAGGGTGTATAAAAAAAAACTGAACAGATTTGAAATTGCTCTCAATTTCGCAAAACACCTATTTGTATCCGGTTTTTTATATGTATAGCTTCTTTGGGTACTTGTAATGTAGAATAATGAAAAAAAAATTCTCAAACTCAAATTTTGTGGACCAGGGAGGTGTGTCTTTTCCAACAAACTAAAAATGGCTCGCGCACAAAATTCAAAAGATGTAATCATATTTTGAGTTTATAGATGGAAACTTTGTCTGGTTTTTAATTACTGTACAAAATTTCAGACAATTTCGTTTAGTTTAAAAACTAAACGAAATTGTCTGAAATTTTGTACAGTAATTAAAAACCCGACAAATTTTCCATCTATTAACTCAAAATATGATTGCAACCTTTATATTTTGTGCGCGAGCCATTTTTAGTTTGTTGGAAAAGACCCCTCCCCCCCTGGTTCACAAAATTTGAGTTCAAGAATTCTTTTTTCATTATTCTACATTATAAGTACCCAAAGAAGCTATATATATAAAAAATAGGTACGCACTGCGTACATGTGGCTAGCCTATTCAGCCTGTCGAATAGAGCTGGAGTTCACATTGTCATAAACATTCATCACAAACATTCATTGTGATACAAAATTAATAATACAAAATAAAACAGATGCAGTATCTTTCTTGCAATGCCAACAAATGGCTACAATCACTCGATTTAAAAGCAATATGGTTTGTAGCAATGGTTCGGCCAACAATATTATCGAGTCACACTTTAATAATAAGCATATATTCAGCAACTAATGATGTCACTTTTATTGTTTTTCAAAATTTCACTAATATGTAATTCACTAAGATTTCATTACATGCGTTTCTGGTTATAAATATATTCTGATATCTGGTTTACAAGTTATTAGCTTTTCTTGAATTGTTGGCATCGCAGATTTCATAAAACCTTTAACCCATTAAGCTGCAGAGTTTCCCACTGACAAGTAAAATGGTTTGGCGTCAAACAAGTAAAAATGTAGGGCGCAATGGGTTAAATTCAAAGTTCTTCACTAATATAATATTTAATACTAGATTTCTAAACATTTTTATTTATTGTAAGATCTAAAAGTATCGTAATTTATAATGAACTCATCCAATCAATTATGTCATCACTACTAAAACTTTTGTCTGATAGTTGTATTGCCCTGATACTTGCATATTCTGATCTTCCCATATTATCCAAAATTATCACCAGTCACCATATTATCAGCAAATTGTCCAGAATATGTGTTGACATGGTTGTTTGAAGCACTGTAGATGCCAGTCATGCATCATTATGATGTTGAATTGTGCTTTTATCTGCAAATGAAATATTGTAAAAGATCGATGCACATGATGCAGGTATATAATTTAAACAATATTTAACTCTAGCTATAGAGTACGAACATATGCTACTAATTGACACTGAGCACTGTTATTAAATGCTGAAAATGGAAAAGAAAGGTTGAAACTTGTCGATATGACCTCAGCACAATGGCTGTGTGTTTGCTTTTTCATATAACATCATAACTGCAAAGGTTAGTGTTGTATGGTGATTGCACTGATCTTCAGGGACGTAGCAAAGCATCTGACATTGGGGGAGGGGTATCGGAGAACTTTACCTGAAATCTGAACTTCAATGTTAAAAATCTATAATATAAGTATAATAAGTATATAATAGAGAAGTATAATAATTATATAATAGAGGTTTTTCTGATTGATTTCAACTGTGATACCAAGTTTCCTAAGAAAAGGGGGTGCAGGGGGTCCTCCCCCAGAAAATGTTTACATTTTTGAAGCTCCACTACTGCATTTCTGGTGTTTTCTAAAGCACATTTGCAAACAAATTGGATCTAAATTGACTGTATCAAAAATGGATATCATTTCACAAAAATAACAACTTTATTAATTAATTATATGCAAATTTTACCTGAAAATGTCAAAATTTATACTTGAATTTTAACTGAGTTTCACAGTGGGATTTACACCCCCAAACCCTTTGTCGATCACTACGTCCCTGCTGATCTTAGATTCCTGGTTAGGTCTAATGAATGTGAATACATTTTAATTTATTATTTCCATCTACAAGATCCTTCAACTGTACGTAAACAACCTGAGCTTCCATTGAACGAACCGGCATCTCAATAATTAATAGCACCCATTAATTTGCAGTCAGTGCAATGCCAGTGACCATAAAAGACTATAGTAATATAAAATAGTCCAGTCTGTTTTCTGTGTTACTTGTAGTTTTATACCTGCAAGTGGATAGGGGAGTTGTAGTATATGCCAGCAATGGGCTTGCTTCTTAGAAATTTACCCACATAATTGATATATTAGAATTCAAGATCTATTCTGTGCAAGCACGTTTGATTATAAAACAGTATTATGAACTCACTATAATGCTTATATATGAAGCGTGATCAAAATCTCTTTGACCAGAATCAGAGTCCACAGCAGATATGAATAGCAAAGACAATGTCAACAATGTTTTAATATATTATAAAATTAAACGACAGATTCACAAATTTTAGGCCTGCCTAAACATAAATATCGATTGAAATAACAAAAATTACCTTACCGTTTGCTGTGAAAAATTCCTTCGAGCAGTTCTTCCAGTGTTGCCAACTGTAAATTTGCTAAGTGAGGCATCTGCCAGTATTATTAAAGTCGTTAAATACCTTTTCTGTGGGATTTTAAGTATATACTTCATCTGTAAATATCGTCGCCTCATGCCATGAACGACAGTTTCCGAAGTAAAGTCGACAATCTAATTTAATTTAATTTAATTTATAAACTTTACAATCAACAAAACGATTGAAGGTACAGACAACAGGACTGAGTAGTCCCAAATCAAGTCCTACCTACACATTACACTGACATTGTAAAACAATAGAGACAGGTTACAACTTTAACAAAGCTACAATACAAAATTACAACACACGATCAATGCGTTCCAACCCATCTTTACACTTTCCAAAGTTAATATGGTTTGGAAAATGATCAAGTTCGAAAAAAAAATTTATACATATAGATGAGTCAACATTGTGCAGCACAGACATAGACACAGAATACAGTAAACATCCTAAACATGCATGTGCTCCAAGCTGTCCCTGCATTTTCCAAAGATAGGATTTCACGAACATAGACTGCCCGGGTGTTTTTTTTTATCTGGGCGTTTAATTTAATTTATTCAAACAGACTGAAGCAAAGACATTTTGGAAATGCAAAGACAGCTTGGAGCGCTCTCAACTATCATGAACAACAAGTAATAGAACAAGAGCGACATTTAGAACAAATGGTTTTCCATGTCCTCGGACGATCAACGTCAAAGAATGTTTCAAGTTTGACCCGGTAGTAGTTCTTCAGTTTATATTTGAGTGTGGCAGTAGAGGTGGAGGATTTCAGATCTTCAGGAAGGTTGTTCCACAGAGGCACAATTCTGTTGAAGAAGGAACTTCTGAAATAGGCAGTTCTGCAAAGGTTGGGTCTGTAGCAATTGGTTGAACTGAAGCGGGTCAGATGATGGGTAGGGTGGTCGATATAATCTTCGGGGTTTAGGTCGTAGAGTCCAGATTTGATCTTGTAGAAACAAATAATATCTTTCATCTCATACCAGTACGAAATAGGAAGAAGGTTAAGAAGTTTCAGTCGGTCAGTGTAGGAAGAGTGGTAATCTTGAAGTATGTATTTGGACGCTCGTCGTTGAACACTTTCGATACGGAGAAGGTCCTTTGATGTTGATTGAGGCGCCCAAAGTTCACTTCCATAACACAGATGAGCTCTCACGAGTGCCAGATAGAGTGAGCGTCGACATTTCGTATCAGTCAGGTGGATACAATTACGTCGGAGAAAACCAAGCATCTGATTTGCCTTTGACACGATACTGGTTATCTGAGGTGACCATTTTAAGTTGTTACTAATTATTATTCCAAGGTCCTTTTGGGAGGGCTTAAG